CAAACTGCAGCCAGTCATTAGAAAACAATCTAGTCATACACAGACAGAGCAATCATTCTGGATAGGGTTTCAAACAGGCCTGAGGAAGTGAGTCACTCAGCCCCCTTGAAAAGTGAATGGAAGCTGGAGACCTGTTTCCTGAGATACCTTTGAAATCCTAGCTTATGTTACAGTATGGCTATTATCCAACCTTAACTTGGGACATTGAAAGGGTTTTTCTTTCTTTTTTTCCCCCTTTTTATGCCAAATTAAAAGTATGAGTACCTAAAGTGCATTTACACCAAAGCAACTTTCCACTGACTTAGCCATATAAAGAGGCCTTGTAGTAGGTATAAATATGATTTATACTGACTTTAAGACTCCTTTCCACCACCTGAGTGGTGGAAGTGTGAAGTGACTTTTGTGGAAATGAGGTTCAGGTCTACAATTGCTAGAAAGCGGTAAGTTCGTGTCGCTCAGACCTGCTGCTTCTACTTCAGGCAACTAACCGAGACAAACTTTTCAGATTTTCTATATCTTTCAATCCTCTGTTCTGTCATATAAAGTTATAATACTATCCAAGAAGATCTTTTCAGTCTTTGAGAGAGATCTCCTCATTCTGTGAACAGAAAGAAATAGATTGAGGGGATTAAAAAAGGTACTTAAGTAATCTTTCTCAAGAAGCCATACAACTTATAGGAAAACATAACTCAGCTAACAGTTTCTTAATTTTCTTAAACAGAATTTAAAATTTGGAGAGGACCTCCTTAGGAAAATATTCTTAATTGCCTTATAATAGCTTTTTTGGAGAATACAGAGTCATTTAGGAAGCATAACAGATCCAAGTTGGATATGTTACCTCTTCTAAAAGAACACCATCTGGGTTAAGGGAGCAAACTGAGGTTTTAGTTTTGTTTTTAAAGGGAAATTACTTTATGTTATGACTCATCAGAACAAGTTAATTTTCCTATTATCATGTTTTACCTTTAAGCAATAATTTTATTTTAAAATCCGTAACAATACATCTGGGTTGTATTCTGGAAAATGAAGCCAATCTGAAAATATAACCTGAGGCATTTGAACAACACCACAAAAACCCTTGCCCTTTCATTTGAAAGTAATGAACATCAATGTGCTGCCTTGACCTGCAGTAGTATTATAGAGGGCCTATAAGCCATCTCAATAACATTATCCAATTAATTTTTCTGAAATTTCCAATACACAGGTAGAAAGGTATTTATCCAACTTCTTTTACAAATGGAATGACAATTAGAAACAGCTTGAATGACTTTCCCAAAACGTTGCAGAGCATCATTTACAGAGGCAGGCTTGAAAAAATCTTTTCTCAGGTTCTAATATAATAGCAAGCTCCTCTTGTCTCTCTTACAATTATGAAGGAATGTGTCCTTTCAGTTGACCTTCCTTTGGGCATAAAAATTAGCTCTGTGATCTCCTTATGTCTCTGTATCGTGCAGCTCTTGAAAATCTCATGAAGATCACTGTATCTCCCCAAAGTTTTAAAAAGATCTCAGCTTGTCATGAGGGTGCTTGACCTTTGCCAGTAACCCAGGTACTGAACACATCACCTTACTGCCTTCTCGATATGCGTATAAAAGAGTGTGACTTTATGTTTTCTTTTCGGATTATTCACAAACTAATTTAAACTGTGTTTTGCAAGCACTTTTTTTATTTTCCCAGATGACAAGTGTATTAGCTAACACTGACAATCTAGCTGCCAGCTCCCCAAAGCAAAGCCAGCATGCTGTGACCTCATGCACACAGCACGCAGGCCTGACTCTGAGCGCAGGGCTCCTAGGAAATAGATGTGAAGCCTGGGCCCTGTCTCAGCTGCCTTGGTAAGCATATTTTATGATAAACTTTATCTCATTAGGAGAGGAAAGGGGGAAATCTTGGTCAAAGTCCAACTCTAGAGCTTATGTTGAGACTGAACTTTCCTGCTCTCCAAGCCTGCCATATCGAATTAGGGAGAATAAAGCCGGCTGCTTGCCCAATTATTTATAACATCACAGGAAACTTGGAATGACTTATTAAAGATGGAAATAGTTCTCTTTCCTCAGAAATGGATCTTGCTTTGCCAAGATACACAGTGACTGGCTGTGTGTAAGAGTGGTGCACAAATACCTTCCATATCGAAGGTTATTAAAACATACCTGGCCTCATTTATCAGCACTTCCATGATTTGCATGCACCCAAACTGTGATACCTAAAAGAGAGCTCCAGGGAGCCCTGCACAATGTTTTGAGGGGAAGGAACTGATTTGGGAATGCAAAACCAAAAATAAAACGAAAGCACAGATCAGCATGCTTGTATCTTTTACAGTGTCAACAAGCCTTCAGCACGGCCCTTGGCAAACATTTCAGTCCAAGTTAATACCCATTGACCACATAGGCTTTTCATTAAAAACAAAATAGTTAATCTGTCCCCTTGAGCATTACAAGAATAGAACTTGGAAAAGCAGGCCAGTGCTGGGAGGCAGAAAGTGAAGTCTGAAAAGTTCATGCTGGATGCCTTTTCTAACTCACTCAGTGATCCAAAGGGCTATTTTACTCACCTCTTGTACCTCCATTCAGCATCTTTAACATCAAGCTAACAAAATTGAGCTATAAATCCTATGAGCCAATCTTTATCAAAGATTTTGACTCAGGGAACTTGAATAGCTGGTTTCTCAAGGTGATTTTAAATGAGAAGAGAAGCACATGATATTTGAAAGAGAGCAGTGTAGCAAAGGCAGTAAAGAAACACAGAACCTGTGTCTTCACAGACAGAGAATTCTGACTGTGGTACTTACCTGGCCGTTAGTTCACAAGGAGGGAAAATATGACAGAGAAAGATAGGAGGAAGAATCTAAATTTCCTGGATGAATCCCCTTTTCAAAAATTTCCCAATGCTGCAACTGCTTGCATTTCAAAACCAGTATTCAGAAAAATGCAGATTTGAATCTCTACATGGCTTTGATAGTCCACCAATTACCATGTAATATCAGCTGCAATATGACTGCAAGCCTGTATGGGCTGCAAGGAAGTGAGAAAAAGCAGAAATTGACTTGAATATCAGGAAAATGATATTAACCGAGGATTTCACTTTTTCTTGTTACCTGTAACTGCTCTTTTCTGAATTGTCTATACAAATAAAATGACTATTGTTGGTTTGTCTTGTCACTGCATCCTTTGCTTCATTTGCAGGTAGCTTTGTGAAACAGAAATCTTTCTCAGAAATGTCAAGTTTATTGTCATTTTTGTGAATAAAATGAAAAAAAAAAAAAGTATCTATCTGTGTTGCTTTGACTTCCCTGTTCCTGCT